CCTTCTCCTGCTTCAGCTTCATCTCCTTGGGTATCCGATGTCCACAACTAGTAAAGAAAGAAAAGGTTTTCAGCGTGTTTCAGTTTGGAAAAAAAACAACAAAATTTCATATATATGCCAAGGTCCCAGGATGTAACCATATGTTCTAACTAGAAAAAAATTCTTAAGAAATATAGCACTATATATAACGGCTTTTGGATAGGAAAATACCTTAATACATTAATTTTTTCCCCCAATCAGCTTGTAAATATGAATATGATACACCATGTCTTCAAATAACATGGTCAGATTAAAAGAATTCAGTCACTCATAGAAAGCGAAGACAAATTACAAAAAAAAGTTATTAAAAAAAGCCCACTAAGTATCAGTGACTACCAGAACATCAGATTGTCCAGAGAAGCCCAAATGTGAGATATGAATAGAGCATGTTAGAAGTAACTCAATTATAATTATCTAATTTACTTCTTAACTAGTAAGGCTGACTATTCTTCCTTAAGAACTTACACATTGAGTCCTACCTAAAAGAAAGTCAGGCATGAAAGTCAATGTTTTCTGAACTAAAACACAAATTCAGCTTTTTTAACATTTTAAACTTAGAAAAACATACTTTCATCTATTTGTATAACTCAAAATAAACAAAATGGTCAGAACACTATATTCTAAGAAGTATAAATGGAATTGTCTCAAGGTGTGACAGGATTATGGATTCTATTTTAATCAATGGTGCAATCTTTCAACAGGTTAAAAAATAACTTTAAAAACTTGCTTCAATTTTAAGTCTTAATCATTCATATTTTTAACTGATGTTTTATTAAAAGATTGAGTCAAGATGATCTCAACGTTTTGGGAGACTTACAAAACGAGGGTGAGATCCTACCTAACTGTATTTTTCTATTCCCCACATAATACATTAGTTCCACGAATTAAATGTATCTCTGGCCTGGAAACAAGACTACTTCCAAGGTCCTAAGGGGAGCCAAATGACCACTTGTAGCCAGTGTGCTCCTGTTAAACAAGGGGTTGTGTAAGAGAAACTTGATAATGTCTCTTATGCCTTCCTAGTTTTAATCTTCAAGGACAAAGTTTTCCATAAACATTAAAAACTAGATACAAGACAGTTCTCTTTTTGGAGTAATGTACTGAGAATCTTGGCTAAACAGGTTCAGATTACTTAACAAATAGTATTAACCTAAAATAATTATAGCTGATGTTAAGGTTCAGGAAAAATAATGAGAATGGCAATCTGTGGTTTTCTTTTCAACTGTTATGCTGTAGCCTTCATGCTATACGCTGATACCAAAATTCAGCTGATACAGGTATTAGATGAGGCCTGGTCCACAGGGAAGTCTCAAATTTCATCTTTTAAAATTCCATCTCATTACTTCAAACCAGGAAAGTCCTATTCTTTATATCAGCTAAACTGAGTGCTATTATCTGAACAAAACTACATTAGATTTGAGTAAAGGATAAAACTCAAGAGGCTTGCCTGTCTTGCTGGGCTCAAGATTGTTTCATTCTTTACTACAGCTTATTTTCTTGATAAAACAACCCCCAACACAAAACCTACCACCATGAAAACAAACAACAACAAAAACCTCACATGTTTGCAGACATCCTTAAATTACACTTATTAAGATGGTGCTAGTAGGCTGAGGAGATAGCTTGGCCTGGCAAGCTCAAGGACTCAAGCATGATGCCTGGTACTGAATGCCATGTCAGCCCCAAAACCTGGCAAGGTGGCACACACCTGTAACCCCCGTGTTGGGGAGGTTTAGACACAACAGTCTGAACTGTGTAGCGAGATCCTGTATCAAATAGATTTAAAAAATAGTGCTAGCTACTTAATTGGAAATAAACTACCACACAATTGGAAGTAAACCCAATAAAATGATAATCAACAAAAAATAAGCCCTAAAGCCCATAGCACATTACAATGTCAAATTTTTACCTCTACCTGACACACAGCAGACCCCTGATAATTTTTTGATCTATGGCTCAAAACTTCAAAGACAGTACTCATTTTATTTATTTAGAGAAATATTTAGAACCATTAAGGAATTACTATTCACTTCTCTAGTTTTGACATCAGGGTTCTTTTTGCTATCTGGAATATACACCAAGGACATTCATTACTTTCCATAAGTCACTTCCTCTTTTTATTTTTAATTTGTGGTACTGGGGATCAAACATGAGACCCTGTGCTTGTTAGACAGGCAATTATGCCACTGAGCTCGCTCCCTGACCCTTTCTTCCTCTTTTTAAAATAGGACAAGTAATTATTTTTGCTCAGGCTATCTAAAAATTTCTACATTTTCTGATATTAATCACTATCTCCACAAATTTAGAGGCAACTCAGTGTACAAATACCCCATTTTTGAAGTATTTTTTTTATGTATTTAGTACAGGGTCTACAAGGTCTCACTATACAGACTGCACATGTAGTGATTCTCCTTGTTTTCAGCTTCCCAGGCACTGGTATTATAGGCGCGTGTGCCACCACGCCCAGTCTCAATCACCATCTCAGCACACCTGGGGGTGGGGCCGGCATAGTGTCACGTCGGGGATCAAACTCTGGCCCTTATGCTCTGCCTAAGCAAGCACTTTATTCCGCAGAGCTAACTGGCCAGCCCAAATAGTCATGTCATTTTTATTTTTTTCTTCCCAGTACCAGGGATCCAACTTGGGACCTTGCGCTTGCCAGGCAGCCACTTACACCACTGAGGTATATCCCTGGCTTTTCCAAAGGGACTTTTTTTAAAAAACCATTTTCTTTTTTGGTACTGGGAATCGAACTCTAGGCCTCGCGCTTGCTAGACAGGAGTTGCACTGCTGAGCTACATCCCCAACCCTTGAAAGAATTTAAATACAGCCTGTTAGGACATGAAACACTACACTTCCATGACTAAAACAGAAACACTCAAGACACAAAAAATAAGTTTACATCACTCAAAATCGATAATGATAGATAAAACTTTTAGAATTCAGATTTTTAAAATAAATGTCAACTAATAACTGTTCAATTCAGTGCTCGTTATTGTTTCTGTAACGGTTTTCTTCATATAGTTTTAACAGATGGTATATATTTAATTTTTGAAAAGTCTAGAAATACTCCTTGTAGTAAAATATGCTGTCTTCAGCCACATTAATCATTACTGATTGTATTAAGTACTTACTGTCAAGTTGTCTCTCAGTAATTGCATAATTAGCGTGCTGTCCTTGTATGATTCTTCACTTAATGTATCAAGTTCAGCAATGGCTTCATCAAAAGCTGTCTTTGCCAGAGAACAGGCTTTCTCTGGAGAGTTCAGAATCTCGTAATAGAACACGGAGAAGTTAAGGGCCAGACCCAATCTGATAGGGTGCGTTGGTTGCATTTCCTTTTTGCTGATTTCAAAAGCTTCTTGGTATGCTTGTTGTGACTGATCCACAATCCCTGGATAATAAAACATACCCAAACACATGGACTAAGTGTGCATGTCACCTTCATTCTTCAAACCAAACCTTTCATTTAATACCTCAGGTGTAAAACCCAGTGTGTGCTGGGTCACCAAAGGAGCCACTAGTCCAGACAAATAGAACTTTGTAATCCCATTATTATTGTATTTTTAGTAAGTAGTTTGTAACACTCCTCAGTTACGCTATGGCCAATTTCTTAAAATTGTGAGGAAACATCCTTGTACATAAAACCGGCTAGAAAGCAGCTATTTTAGAATACCAATGTTAGGTAGTATTGTAACCCACAAAGAAAGCACCACTGCTTATCATCCAGGGCTAATTAAAAAAAAAAAATTCTATACTGTGGTATTTTATACACATTCAGCCAATAGGTTTAAAACAAACGCAGCCTACCTTTCTTATCATCACCAGCAGCAACCTCGGCCAAGTAACGGTAGTAGTCTCCCTTCATTTTCAAATAAAAGACTTTGCTCTCCGCTTGTGAAGCATTGGGGATCAAGAACTTTTCCAAAAGAGACTTAGGAAGAAAAGAAATAGATGTACTAAGCATGAAACATTTACAAAAGTAATTACATTTCTTAAGCACATAGTATAGACAGTCATTGCCAATAACATAATTGAATTTGTGGTTTACATTGGCAGAAAGCTGAGCTGGGTGAGGAGGCACAGGCCTATAATCCCAACACTTGGAGGTCAAGGAAAAAGAGATCACTGCAAATTCGAGGCCAGCCTGGGTTACACTGAGTTCAAGGCCAGCCTGAACTGCATAGTGAATCCTGACTCAAAAAACAACAAAGGTTGCAAAATACTTTGGGCAGCAATATTTAAAAAAGATTTGAAATTAGTATTTAGCTTACTGAAGGATGACCCAAATGAATATAGGTCCCCACCACATATTTACTCACAGGCTAGCTTTAGAATATGAAGATAGCTCATATTTAATAAGAACAATTACTAATGAGTAGATAAATTCCATTTAAAAGTACTGTAATTATGACCTTAGAGGGAACCTACAAGATGAACTTTTCAGGACTCTAAGGGGATGATAAAGCAGCAAATAATAATATGACTCATACAATCAATCCATGCTGGAGGAAGCTGTACAAAATGAACTACTTCATTTATAAGAACACAGCTAGAAAATAGGTACAATTTTCCAGACAGTGAAAGGATTATGAAATTTATGGATCTGAAGAGCAGCCCTGTTACAATCAAAATGATTTTTATCTGTTTAGACTGTCCCTAAACAGCAGATAAAACCTATAATATCATCTTATAGTTTTGTTTAAAGCTATTAAGAATTTAAGCTTATTTTAATTTTCACATACTAAAAATTACCCTCTACAACTGATTTAAGGCGTATAGATGTGTTGGGGAGACAGTGGAATAGTGTTTTTAGTTAACGAGAAGAAAAACTGCAGCACCAAATGAGACAGGCATTTTAAAAAATCCTCTATTACCACACCCAGCAAACTCTTGAAATTAGAATGATGGCTAATTTCAACTGGCTTGAGTTCCAAATAAATCAGTTCTTACAAGGAAAAAAATATCTAATGCTTGGTTTGTATACTTGAAGGCAGTTACCCTCAGAAGCATCTATTTATATGACTATAAGCATATGTAAAAGAATAAGTCATTTAAAATGCTAAAATTTTAAAGCTACACCAGGAAATTTAATAACTTCTTTAGGCCCTGTGTTCACAAATGTCACTAAAAGGACTTATTTTTATGAGTAATAACTTCTGTATCCCTAAAGGAGGATTTTTTTTTTTTCCCCAGAACGCCTTCAGGGCAGGTTTGGCTGGCTTGAGTTGTGGGGATCGAACTGCAACAACCTGAGCCTGACAGCTTTGTTGAAGCAGCCACTTAAAGAACTGAGCTAAGGGGCAGGCCCCCAAAAAGGCAAAAGGATTTTTTTTGTATCCCTAAAAATGTCTTATTTTACACTGGAGCTATCTCATGCTGAACAAGTTGCCTAGGCATTAATAAGTTAAGTGTACCTTCCCTTAAGCTAACCACTGAATTTGCCATTTAACAACTGAAAGCTACTAACCAGAACCCACAGGAGGGCTCCTTACTTATTGGCCTGCAGACCGAAAGATGACAAAATGTTTCTGGTAAAATGCTGACCCTAAAAAGTTGCAGAAGGTACCCAGCCAACAAAATGATCTAGCCAGCCACAACCCCTAAGTGAAGGCTTATCAGGTATTTCAGGCCCAGCTTGAAATCTTAGCTCAATGCAGCAGTAATGACCACAGCCAGTAACAGGTAACATGTGGAGAACTGTCCAATAGTCCTGCCAATCCATAGAACCACAAGGAATAAATCAGTTTTGAATAAATCAGTTTTGTATAGCTTTTGATAACCAAGACAAAGCCCTACAATTCAATATGGAATCATAACATTATTACTATTTTTATTATTTTCTGTGATTTGACTCTTCCGTATCCCCATCCATGATGTGCGAATTATAATTATCCCTCATTTTATACAAATCAGTGGAACCCAACAATGTGAAGTGCTCAAACTCAGCTAGCTTGTAAAGGCACGCCTCCAACTAGACAGGATCACTAGTACTAACATTATGCTATGTTTTTCTGCCTCTATGGGCTGTTATGCCTACTGAAAAGGATGTGATCCCAAGACTTCACAACAAAACTAGGAATCCAAGTTAAAAAAAAGATGTAGTACCGTACTGTACCAACAAGAGTAATCTAGAGTATACTGGTTCTTTAAAAATGTAATAAGACAGGCACTGACAAACTACAGATCACCAAGAGTAAGCGAAAGGACAGTGAGGACACCAGCACAGCTATGAAGATGAGCATTAGCAGGACATGAGTGACTACCAAAGACTGGTAAAATTTAGGAAGACAGAAAATTTTGGTTCAATGAGACAACTTACGAGTTGTTCAACATTGGAAATCAGTCACCTGTTTAGGCTAGGCAATGGGTTCTCTTTTATTTTTTTGAGTTCTTTTTTAGATGCATAGAAGTCAGATGTGGTTTCAACTCTTAAGGGGAAATACAGAATTGACCAGGTTAAAGTATAACACAAATGAAGCAATTGTAATCGCTTGTCAAACTGATCAAAGAGTAATGAAGGCTCATTTCCAGGCTCAGAAGCCACAGGAGAAAAGCACATGTAGAGTAATGTTAAGGACAAAAGAAAGCTGCAACATGTTATCAAAAAGCATCAGTATAGCACAACAGAGGTGAGCGAAGTAAAATAGAAAAGGAATGATGGCTATTTTCAAAATGGAGCACCTGGGGGCCTGCCCGGTAGCTCAGTTCTTTAAGTGGCTGCTTCAACAAAACAGTCAGGCTCAGGTTGCTTGGGTTCGATCCCCACAACACAATACAGCCAGTCATGCCTTGAAGGCATTTGGCGTTAAAAAAAAAAAAAAAAAAAAAAAAAATGGAGCACCTAATATCCTGTGAAACAAACAATACTACCTTGTACAATTTGTTCACTACAACAGTATGATGAAAGCAAGAGCAAGAACCTGAATTTAAAAGCAAAATAGTGGTAGGCACAGTATTAGGTAAGTTAAAGTGCTACAACAACTTGTACTACAAAATGAAATGTTTACTGTCTAAAATCTGTCACTTAACAAAATTCTGCAATGTGTACAATGGCTGCTGGTTTTTTGACAGGGTATGAGCAGATGGCTTAGAAAGCATTTCGAATAGACCGACACACAGGGACTATGTTATGGTTTGTATCTAGGTGTCAAAGCCTCATGTAAATCATGGGGCAGTCACCACTTGAGGGGCAGAGACTAGGGCAGGGCTCAAGGGGCAGGGCCAGAGGTATGAAGGTTAAAATGACAGCCTGCGCCTCCCTACTCCCCCTAGGACCAGTGGCTTCGCTTAGAGGTGTGGAGGGGGTCATCCTGGACACAGCAGCACCCCAGCCTCTCTTCCAGACCCTGTGGTGCAGGATGGCAGTGTCTCGAGGTCTTGCTATGTAATTCAGGCTGCTTTAGAGACTAGGAAACCTCCAGTAACTGTAAGCTACCTTTCCTTCCCTAAGCTTGAGTGTCAGGTATTTGTCCCAGCAATAAGAGAAGAGTAACTAAAACGAAAATACTGTCACCTTTTTGGAAAGAACAATAATCTAAACCATCATACTTTCAGTACTCTTTAAGTTAATCAAATTACCGTAAAAAAATGGGTACACTGCAACTTATACACACCATAACCAGTTCAATTCATTCACTCAGACACTGCCTTAGTTCTGAACACTCATGTGAACTATTTTTTTTTTTTTTTTTTTGGTGGAACCGGGGATAGAACTCAGGCCCTTGCGCTTGCCAGGGAAGCGCTTATTCCACGGAGCCATCTCCCCGGCACTAATTTTATTTAAAAAAGAACTCCCATATTTCTAACCCAATCATAGTAGTTACCTCTTTCTGAACAGATACCATTCCAGAAAAAACCCCCCAAAACCCAAAACTAATAACCAATGCTTTGTATTTGTTTAAAAAATTTTTGGTCTCAAGTTCTCTTTATGTGCATACCACTTATCTTCCTCACTTCATTAATTTGTAAAATGGTTGCCAAATACCTCTGAATTCAGATTGGCTACAGTTCTTTCACTGGAGAGAACACCTGAAAGCTGCCACCTCAGAGCTGGTTGTGGGGTCAGCTGCCACTGTGGGCCTGTGGAGATGCTGTGAAGTATAAAAACACTAGGAGCCCAGGAAGTACCATTCTATCCTGATTTACCAGATAGGAAGAAATGGGGGTGATGAGCTTCACCATTTATAAAGTCAGCGGTCCCCCCGCCAAAGCCTTACAAAGGTTCAAGTTCAATGCCTACCCATGGCTATCTTTAGGCAGCTCACTGCACACAGGTAAAGCATCAGCCTGCCTGTAAACATAAACCATGTTACAGCAAAACACAAAATATCACTCATACGCTTATGCAGGTACCACCTACTATGTGGCATGAATAAATCTGTGAGCTGCATCTTTGAAAAAAAATACATATATTTAGTACAAGGTCTACAGGGTCTCATTACACAGATCAGACTCGTAGTAATCCTCCTGTTTTCAGCCTCCCAAGTGCTGGGATTACAGGCACACATCACCACATCCAGTCCCAAGATGTATTAAAACAAGCTAATAATAAGGTTCAGCACGTAACTCAAATCATCGCAAGCATTCTTCATAGAGACAATCACCCCAAGGTGACTTACTATAGCCACACGTTTTATATTTATGCCTTCTACCCTCCATGGCTCTAAAATATTTGAAAAAAAATACGTAAAACACATACACACCTTAACCATTCCCCGACAATATTGTGTTAACTTAAAATGGCATTAACATTTTATGAGCAACATAAAGATTTACTGGTGACATAAAGTATAGAAAATGTGGAGAGATTACATGCAAATACTACCATGACGATCTGAGGGACTGAGCTTCAGAGGTCAGCAGGGTTCTGGAGCCACATCCCTACAGACAAGAGGGACAACTGCACTTTCCACTTTGCTTCATGAAAAAAAA